CATTAACACCTTAGTCCCGTCTCGTCTCGTCAACGAAAACTAAATATACATTTCGTCAAATTTTCGTTATCAATAATCTATTTTTAGCTCGTCATCGTCTCGTCTTAGTCATGTAAAAAAGGTTGTTGACGAACATTTTTCGTCATAGTTTTCGTTGACGAAATTAACACTGGAGGGCGATCAAGAGAAGAGAGAGAGGGTGATAGAAGAGTGAGAGGGTGATCAAGAGAAGAGAGAGAGGGCGATCAAGAGAAGAGAGAGAGGGCGATCAAGAGGAGAGAGAGAGGGCGATCAAGAGAAGAGAGAGAGAAGAGAGAGGGCAATCAAGAGAAGAGAGAGAGGGCGATCAAGAGAAGAGAGAGAGGGTGATAGAAGAGTGAGAGAGCGATCAAGAAAAGAGAGAGAGGGCGATAAAGAGAAGAGAGAGAGGGTGATAGAAGAGTGAGAGGGTGATCAAGAGAAGAGAGAGAGGGCGATCAAGAGAAGAGAGAGAGGGCGATCAAGAGGAGAGAGAGAGGGCGATCAAGAGAAGAGAGAGGGCGATCAAGAGAAGAGAGAGAGGGCGAGCAAGAGAAGAGAGAGAGAAGAGAGAGGGTGATCAAGAGAAGAGAGAGAGGGCGATCAAGAGAAGAGAGAGAGGGTGATAGAAGAGTGAGAGGGCGATCAAGAGAAGAGAGAGAGGGTGATAGAAGAGTGAGAGGGTGATCAAGAGAAGAGAGAGAGGGCGATCAAGAGAAGAGAGAGGGCGATCAAGAGAAGAGAGAGAGGGCGATCAAGAGAAGAGAGAGAGGGCGATCAAGAGAAGAGAGAGGGCGATCAAGAGAAGAGCGAGAGGGCGAGCAAGAGAAGAGAGAGCGAAAAGAGAGAGGGCGATCAAGAGAAGAGAGAGAGGGCGATTAAGAGAAGAGAGAGAGGGTGATAGAAGATTGAGAGGGTGATCAAGAGAAGAGAGAGAGTAATGTAACCTCCTAATGTAATGTATAACTCCCATGAAAATGTTCAAAAAGTGCTCAAACTTCACATGTGTGCTAACAGTCCAGCCGTGAAGACATCTACGGGACAGTTTTGAGATTTCTTCAAATGCCGTTGCCATGGCAACACAATGCTCACCATGAAACACGGTTTTCTCATAACTTCAGTGAAAATGCTCGAAATGGCCCAAAACTTCACAGGTTTGGTAACGATGCAGCCATCAACACATCTAAGCGTATTATGGGGTGTCATCAAATGCCGTTGCCATGGCGACAGATAATTCACCATCAAGTTAGTTCAAAAGTTTGCAGTTCAAATATTCTGCTGCTTTCCCAAGCCTTTTTACTTTCTTTTCTCATCTTAATACAAATTCATTCACTACTACTTACATCTGATATTTAACTCCTTTAGCCTATTTTCAGCTGCAGAAACCATTCAACTATTACATTATTCAGCTATTTCAGGACATCAAGGCTATACATGTTGTTGTTTATACCTTTTTTTAAACCTTTTCTTTTAAATATTAAGCTTTTTCTGCATTTTCAGCTAAATTCAGCCACAAATGTTCACAGTTTACAGCATTTGCACGCATTTTCTGCAGGAAATGCATTTTCTAGTTCTTCTCGTTCTTATTAGTGCGAATGCTGTTTACAGCATTCCACTATAGTTCTTCGATTCTTTAATCATCTTCTTTCACCAAATAGTTTGGCTCTCAATAACTTCAGCATACTTTCAGCTACAGAAGCCATTCAAATATCAAACTATTCAGCCTTTTCAGCACATGATGGGAAACTTTCAACTTTTCCAAAATATGTTATACGTTTTGAAATATTCAGCTTTTTAAACTCTTTTTTTAACATTGAACTCAATGGGAGGAACCTTCAAATCCTCTTTTACCTACACCTTGCGCCAAATGCTTCTCCTTCCACATACTTTCAGCTAGAGACTTCATTCCAACTTTAAAATGATCACAAGACCTTCAGCTATAAGTTATTTATATTGTTATTCAGATCTTTCATATCTTTTACACTTCTTAAGATATTTAACTTAGTTTGGAGCTTGGTAAAGAGGCCTTCTTCAGATTTTAACATTAGTGTGTATTGCGCAGCTCGTTACAGAAAACAGAGTGGAGGAGTGCTTGAAATTCGCCCAAAATCTTTTTTTAAACCTGCCATAATTCCCAAACCCTACACTCCTTGGACATCATTTTTCATGAAAAACGTAGGAAAACCTCTCCTACGTTGAAAATATTAAACAAAATGCCTTTTGAGGGCATGAAGAGACAAAAACTTGTCAACAAATCCACCTATCTCCCAATAGACTCCCATGTAAACATTTTCCGGATCTTTCTTCAGACGAGAGAGAAGTAAACTTTAAACAAACTGCTCCCTAGGATGTACTAGGATGGGTTAAAAGCAGAGGCCAAATTTCACTGTGTGTGCTGTGTGCTCTGCATGTGTGACCATTAAAGAGGGTTTCATCCCTCCCTATTCTATTCTATTCCATCTCCACATTTTAGACACAAAACCTAAAAAAACAACATTGGGGTTCCCTGATGCTCACGGTCTGGTAATTTTTTTATAGGAGCCATCGTTTTTGAACAGGTGGCAAAATTGTCAGATATAACCCTCAATGCATTCTTAATAGGACTCAGTGCTGCAGTTGGTTACCATGGTGTTGCTGGGCAGACAGACACACACACACACGCACACACACACACATTGACATTTTTCCAAAAGCAGCTACTGTTTTTAAACTATAGTTAGAAATGTAAAAGGTTTATTTCTCCTTCAGAACAATGGAAAGGCTCTCCTTTCACAGCACATCTCCATGGTAACCTTTGATCTCTGGGCCTACACACACAGGTATTTGTAAACATTCATTCACTACTACTTACATTTAATATCTAACTCCTTCAGCCTACTTTCAGCTGCAGAAACCATTCAACTATTAGATTATTCAGCTATTTCAGGACATTGAGGTTATACATGTTGTTGTTTATACCTTTTTTAAACCTTTCCTTTTAAATATTAAGCTTCTTCACTATTTTTCATACTCTTCCAGTTTAACATTTCACTTTCAAGTTTTCAATGCATTTGAGCTGTAACAATTTTGATTCAAATCATTTCACTTTTCTGCATTTCTCCGCTAAGTTCAGCAACACACATACTTGGTTTTTGTAGCTTAAAGCAGCTACAGAGACCATTCAACTGATAACATATTCAGCTTTTTCTGCATTTTCAGCTAAATTCAGCCACAAATGTTCACAGTTTACAGCATTCACACGCATTTTCAGCAGGAAATGCATTTTCTAGTTTTTCCAGATGTTTCTTTCTATCATAATAAAATTGTTTTTAACCACAGCAAATGTATCTATTTTATTGGTCGTTAAGCTAATGTTAAACATTTAAAAATGTACTTTGTTAGTATTTCCATTTCATGGTACTTTATAATTCTACTCCACTACATTTAAAAGGGAAATAATACGATTTTACTCCACTACATTTATTTAACAGCTTTAGCTACTTTTATCAAAATGCATCTCTCAAAATCAAACTATAGTGGACAAACTCTTTAAGTCACAAAAGAGTCAAATTATTCAAATAATTTACAAAAAGTCAATCAGTACTTTGTTTGTCTCCAGCAGTAAAATGCTACTTGATGCAACAATATTAGGCATGTCAGATATATAATTATGTATACACACAAAGGCAATGCACAAATATGACTCTTCTACATTCTGCAGATAATACTTTTGTACTTTTACTTAAAGTGGACCTATCATGCTATATTGTAATAATATAGTGTAGGACCATACCTATATAAGGCATATTTATACTTTTTTTTTTTCAAAATACCAAACAGATCATGCATTTCAGCCATGCCTCATTTCGCTCAATTTGCACTTTTTTAGCCCTGTTTTTGCAAGGGCTGATTCTGTGAGAACAGCACCACCTACAGGCCTGGCATATGTATTACAGCATCTCCAGCGCTTTCGAACGGCAATGGCCGTGGCTGTCTCCTCCTGATTGGTGGAGTTGGCCCAATAGCCGTAGCGCCACCGTCCTGACGTCAGGACAGTGTTCAAATCTGGATCAGTTTTTATCAGATCCGTTGCAGCCCCTTTTTTAGAGATTTGGGTATGGAGGAAAATAGAGAGGGTTGTGTTTTCTGACACTTGGTGAGTTCCCTGGAACACCGGGGACACATATTCATGTATAAAAGACGTACAAAAGTGCATTTTGCATGATAGGTCCCCTTTAAGTAAGAATTTGAATGCAGGATTTTCCAACTCAGTCAAAGCCACTCTAGCACCCCCTAGCGGCCATGCGGCTCCTAACATATATCTCATGTAAAGAAAGAAACACCACCTGCAGTCACACATTTTTTATTTTCATAAGAGCACCCCCATTTGAATAGTTTTAAACAGTAGGTAAGTAAGACATGAATGAAATGAGTCAGTCACTCATTATCTATTACATTTAGCAATTGTATGGATTAATAGTAAAAGCTTAAGAAAACACACTGTGCAGGTTTAGGAGACGTGTGTGAGTGTGTGTGTGTGTGTGTGTGTGTGTGTGTGTGTGTGTGTGTGTGGGGGGGGGGGTGTTATCGTCCTGCACTGTTGTCCTAATCCGTTCTTAGAGGATAGAGGCTTAGTGGACCTGAGGGTAGGTGGACAACAAATACTGAGAGAGAGGAGCGTCCAGACCAACCAGCAGCTTCTCTTCATGAAGAACTCTCCTCACTCCTTCCTCTGACTCCTCCATGACTGCGGGTTCTCCTCCATGACTGCCGGTTCTCCTCCATGTCTGCCGGTTCTCCTCTGACAACTCCTCCCGCCAACTCTCCAGCATCCACTGAAGCAGCTAATCACTTCCACTGGGCTAATTTGGATGCCATCTTGACATCCTGTAGGCTAGGGAAGGAATAGTCGTCCGAGACCTTTGGGGTAGTGGTTTTATCCATCTACCTATCTATATATTGATTTATTTGTTGAAGTGTGAATTAAACACAGAGCTCTGAAGATGAAGGACCGCCTGGCCCAGCTGAAGGAGGTAGGAAGCGTTAATATGTCCGGCTGAGTGATGAGCTGCAGGTCTCAGGCCTCCTGCTGTAATCAGTGTGTGTGTGTGTGTGTGTGTGTGTGTGTGTGTGTGTGTGTGTGTGTGTGTGTGTGTGTGTGTGTGTGTGTGTGTGTGTGTGTGTGTGTGTGTGTGTGTGTGTGTGTGTGTGTGTGTGTGTGTGTGTGTGTGTGTGTGTGTGTGTGTGTGCGCGTGCGTGCATGCGTGTGTACTGTCGCTGTGTCTGTTATTCATGAGTTTATTTTCCACTTGTTCAATTTAGCACAAAATAATAGAAAAACAAATGTGAAAACCGCATTTAGAAATAATATTAAAGCAGGTTCTAGGCGAATATTTGAAACATGAAGGAAAACATAAGGTGACACAAGCTAGCACGTGTTAAATATGTATTACTTTGATGTTTTAGAGTAAATATTCTTATAGTCCTAAAGCGTGTCGTAAGGCTGAGGATTTAAAATGAGTTTACTCTTTAGTTTGGAGCGTGCAGAAGGCAGCAGCGCGTGCGACTCAAGCGTGGGTGTGAGTGTGCCTGACGTCTCAGAGGCACATCCACTGCACACTGTACAGATGTGTCTGTCAAACTGCTGATTAGACGGTTTATAACGAGACAGGAAATACATCAATATTTAGAGGTGACCATGTATCTAATGTATCAGGACTTTTAAAGATGTTGAATATAAGATTTGTTGCTGCTGTACCATCAATATTTGTATTTATTCTGTGATTCCTGGGAGTTTTCCCCTCTTCCTAATTTGCCTGTGTGTGTGCGTGTGCGTGTGCGTGTGTGTGTGTGTGTGTGTGTGTGTGTGTGTGTGTGTGTGTGTGTGTGTGTGTGTGTGTGTGTGTGTGTGTGTGTGTGTGTGCGTGTGCGTGTGCGTGTGTGTGTGTGTGTTTAACAGAAGAGTGACACAGGAACCGATGACGTTGAGATTCCAGTGGAGAATCAGGCTTTTATGGATGATTTCTTTGCTCAGGTATTCAATTTGTGTCTGTCTGTTGCTCACATTGCTAGAAGAGAACGTATTCTGTGCTAATGTTGTATCTCTTTCAGATTGAAGATATCCGCACCAGCATTGACAAGATTGATGAGAGTGTCACAGAAATCAAAAAACTCTACTCCACCATCCTGTCAGCTGCTTCATCTGAACAGAGTAACAAACACACACACTCTCAGGCTCACACACTCTCAGGCTCACACACACACACACACACACACACACACACACACACACACACACACACACACACACACTTCTTGCTGTTTGTGAACTCCCTCGCCTCTCACTCTATTTCAGAAACACAGGATGAAGTTGAAGCCGTCACCAATGAGATCAAGAAGTCGGCTAACAACGCAAGAAACAAACTGAAGAGTCAGTATTGTTTTTGTTCCTGTTCACTGATTGTATTAACTCCATTAACTGCGTATGTCTGGAAGTTATCCAATTGAAATCATCTTTTTGCAATTTGCAATTGTCCTCTGTGTGTGTGTGTGTGTCTGTGTGTGCGTGTGTGTGTGTGTGTGTGTGGGGGGGGGGGGGGGGTGTGGGTGTGTGTGGGTGGGTGTGTATCAGGTATTGAGGGCCAGCTTGAGAAAGCAGATGAAAAAGCCTCAGCTGACGTCAGGATACGCAAATCACAGGTCAGACTTTATAAGATATAACTATTTAATTAAGTTTACTTATCAAAATTTGACCTTTTAAAGAGCTGGAGCTCACAGGAAATGTTTGGGTTTACATATTTATTGATTCTGGAAGTTCTCAGCCCCCACCCCTCCTGTAGAAGCTGACACAGAGACCTGGTCTTTACCTCTGTTGCTTTGCACTCTGTAAATAAAAGGCCCATTGAAATCATTTTATGAAGCTGAAAGCATAAACATGGACACAATTATGTGTTATGTCACTTCCATTACATATTTACTCCCCTTTTAAAGTCATTTAACAAGGCATTTGCATTCTCCGTTCCCAGCATGCCATCCTGGCCAAGAAGTTTGTTGAGGTGATGACCCGATACAACGAGGCTCAGATGGACTTCAGAGATAAGAGCAAAGGACGGATCGCCCGGCAGCTGGAGATCAGTGAGTTAAAGTCATGATATCATGACTTCATCCTCCGAGTCAGGCCGAAATACATTACTTTAATTGTTTTGAATATGCCTTTCATAAATCTATCAATCACTTTTTACATTACATGCACACATTCAAGTTCACCATGTGTCACAGTCATTCAGTGTCACATAATTATGTTATTGCTCCTTTATACATGACTTGGCTTCTGGTGACTTTCCTGAATTACATAGTTATTTTTTTCAAGCATAATGACATTATGTGAGGTATATTGTGTATCTTATGTCTTATACAGTGGCGGCCGGTGGTCTTTTTTTTTGGTGGGGCTCTTGACGTACCGTAAGTGACCTACCCGGGTGGTCCGGGGGGTTTCCCCCCGAAATTTTTTTTCGAGAAATGACCCCTTAAATGATGACTTCTGGTGATGTTAGAGGGGGGGGGAAAGGAGAAATCGAGGCTTAAAAATATGAGAAGACTGATCAATACCTCCATAATCTTCAGTGTGGAAAATATTATTTATCAACCTGAACATCTACTACTTTACCAGGAATTTGTGTTCTCAGAACTGGTCTGTTTTTTTCTTTCTTAAAACTGTTCATGTTTTATGAACCAACACCTTCACCAAGTAGCTTTACAGTGAACTGCATGTGAGATATAAAATTAATAGCATCTTTTCAGTAGCATTAATTATAAATATTTAAGTGGTTCAATACAAGTCACTACAGCATTTCAAACTGAACTGTGAATAAATGCAATTTAAAAAAAATAACCACAGCACAAAATGTCATAAATTGTGTTTTTTCTTTGTTTCTCTGAGGATTATTTACAAACAGGCTTATTTACATATAGCAATAACTCAGAAATGAAAAAGCTACATCGTCTAACACGAACAACCAGTTAGCATAATGATAATATATGTGTTATGTACAATGTAACTGGCAAGGCTAGAGCAAGAAAGAACATAAAGTTTGCAAAAGGTTTAAATAACTTCAAGTATCTGTCTTCAGATTACGTGGAGGTTTTAGTCCGATGGGAAGCAGATTTTAAGCGACACCGAAGATAAACCAAAAATGTGGTGGAGCTGCAAACCGTGTAGTGTTGCTGGGACAGAACAGGAGCTATAACCGTTGGAAAATACATCACAGACAATGCAACAAACGTGGAGACAGAACAATCACTTCTGTGATAAATGCCCACTTATTAATAAACTTCTAACAACCATGGGAAACCTCCTCTCTACATATAAAGTGATATCCAAGCATGGGAAACAAAAGACAGCATTTACCTGTTTGCATCCAGCTAGCCAAGCCTTTCTTGTGTACCAGCTACTAAGCCTTGTGTATAAATGTTGTCTTTTTCACGAGATTGCTGCGATATATTCAAATCGGGTTGGTCCGGTGCAAGGTCTTTAAGCAACAATTTATCTGCCAAACTTCTCCTTTCGAAAGGATTGGAGATTAGCTCTTGAACAGAATTAGCCGGGGACCGAGGTCCGGAGACTCCACCTGCACACGAAGCCATCCTCATCAACTACTGCGTCAACCGGATACGAGTCACTGTCCAAACTACTCACAGACTGCACTGGGCGCTGACATTGGCGCCCGGTGACCGTCATCTTTGACGACGCTGATTGGCTGAAATTATATTTTCGCGGCATAGTTTACACGTTACAGATAGCAACAGTCAGCTGCTGGTGGCTGCTGCTGCACTGGTTGAAGGCTCCTCTCTTAGCGCCCAGACGAGAGAAGGTGCATGGGCAAGGCCAGGCAGGAAACATGTGACTTATCAGTAACTTTAGACATCGTAACACAATTTTAAACGAGATTTTATTGTAGATTATACATTTTACTGATACCAATTATATAATATTTACCTTGTTCATTAAAAATAAAAATAAAAACATATATATTTTTTTAAACATATTTTTTTTTTTTTATTTTAATTTTAATTATTATTTATTTTTTTTTTTTTCAATATGGGAAGAGGTGGGGCGGCGCCCCTAGCGCCCCTATGGACCGGCCGCCACTGGTCTTATATATACCATATGCTTATTCAAATCATTGCAGCTTGTTCTCAGTTAAAAATGTATTAAATCTGCTTTGAAGATGAAAATGACAGCCACTAACCACTTCTTACACGACATAGTTTGGAACAAGAGCGTTAACAACTGGTAGGACAGTTGTGAAAAATGGTGAAGCTGTGACCTGTAATAGTCAGGTCTGAATATGACTCTTAGGCTGCCTTTACATGGGAACGTTTGCGTTTATGCACAGTATGCGTTTTCAAAAAAGTCTTCCGTTCACATGCATTCGTTTCATTTAACGTGTCTGTTCAAACGAGACCGCTGGAAACGCTGTAGTACATATGCCGGGACTGTAAGTGGCGCTGTACTTCCACGCGAGACCGCTCGAAAGCGCTGGACACGCTGTAGTACATATGCCGGGACTGTAAGTGGCGCTGTAACTTCCGCCACAAAATACACCAAAAGCAGCGAAGAAGACCCCGGAGCAGCCCCGGAGCAATGTTGCCATGGCTACCCTTCTGTTTATGCCCCGCGGTGGATTTAGCAACATGTAGTAGTTCATGTAATTCTCCATGTCCACTTGTTGCTGATGGTTGTGGTAGAAGAGCTGTAGATGTTGTACTAACATCTGTAGCATGATCAGTAGCAGTAGCACTAGCAGTAGCTACTGGCCATGCTACAGCAGTGAGCAGCAGAGGCGGGGAGAGGTGGGGCTATCGTTATTTTTTCAGGAAATATTCGTATAGAGGCGATTACACGGACTCGTTTGACCCCCCAGAGCGTTTCGTTTGCAAATCTATCCACCTTGGGACCCGTTATCGTTTGTGGGGTCCGTTTGTTACGGCCTCGTGTAAATAATAGGGCTATATGGAAGAGAAACTGCAGATACAAGCCGTTTCGTTCTCGTGTAAAGGGCACCTTAAATTGATCAATCATCGAGACTCAAATGAGCTGGAGTTCAGTAGATCCATTTACACTGAGACTTCACTGGTAATTACGTGGTCCAATATTTTATTGCGCACCTTGGAGGTGAAGTGCAGGCATATTGTCATTCAAGAGAGAATACGATGCGTAGTTCTTTTGGAAAACATGTTTTTCTTTTAGCCTATTTACCTCGTTAACGTAAATAATACTCATTACATTAAAATTCATTATTTTTGATTAAAATAATGGTTGTTTGTAATGTATTAGCGACCCCCACAGATGTATGATTTCACTGCTTTCATAGGAGCTCAGACGCCTCCTTATGGGAGCTCAGCTCCCATTGGCTCCCACATATCTCCAACCCTGTATGGACCCCTTACCATGGTACTGTCAGCAGTAGGGGTTCACTGATCACTGTTCATGTCAGTAGTATTATAGTATAATATTATTATTATTATTATTATCATTAGGACTCAGATTATATGAGTGTGACAGACACTAAAGGCGCCCCATGGATTTGGCACCAAGAACAAACACAGTTTTGTTTAACCTGTCAGTGTCATTGTTTGTTTCAAGCATTGTCAGGAACACAGCAATTTGACAGTGTGGGGGAGTTCCTGAGCTTTCCATGACTCTGAAGTCTTACAAAAAAAAAGATTTTCTTGATGATATGGCAGAAATATGTATCCCCCCTGTTCATCTGGCGCGTATGCTCTTCACAACATCTCTTGTGAAACAGAAAGTCCACATGGTACCCTTACTATCAGTCCACTTTAAACGTGATGTGTTTAGTGTTGATTGTATATTTCATCTGATTATTCAGAGGCATGTTGGCCTCAGTGTAACCTCTAGATTCCCCCGGGTCCGTCTGCACCGCGTTACGGCCGCATCACGACCCGTCCACACGACGGCGTGCGTTGAAGCTTCAACGCTTCTGCCCATTCACTTTGAATGGGGTGACGTCACGCTTTGCCGAACTGCATTGTGGTTCCGTCGCTTCGCTTTGCTCGCGTTGCTCGCTTCAAAAGTTGAGCAATGTTCAACTTTTGAAGCTTCGACGGAAGCGTCAGCCAATCAAATCATATGCCAGTACAAGCTCTAGCCAATCAAACCGCGTGCTTGTGTGTCCGGGGTGGGGAATCCCCGGTGGAATCCCGGGGTAGGTGTCTCTACTGTCACAGGAGTCAGGTGACTGGCAGTTACTCTAGTATGCTGTTATTATTCTGACAGTAGGCCTCGTCCTTGTGTATTGCTGTCAGCTGTTAACAGGTTTGTGTGTGAAACACTTGTTCAACTGTCTTCCTGTTAATCACAGCGGGGACAGCAACGACTGACGAAGAACTGGAGGCCATGCTGGAGGGAGGAAACTCGGCTGTGTTCAGTGCCGGGGTGAGAGTCTGTGTGTCTCAATATGTTGAACATGCACACACACAGTTCAAATAACACACTCACAGCTAAGTCACTCTATTAATGTATCGTCGATCAACAATGAATTGAGATTGTCCAAGATCATACCTCAGTCCGTTATTTCATGTAACATTTTTTATTTTACATTAGTAGGTATGTTACAAAGTGCCATGTTACAGAAGCATGGACATTGCCTTAGTGCATATACCATGGTATTTTTTAATAGTACCATAACATGGCACCTGGCTATATTTGACAGCACCATGGTGCATATTCCATATTGCATACTATACTGGTTACTATGGTATACAGAATTGGGAACCAAAGTATAATGTACTGTACCGTGGTGTGGTGTGAAATACGGTACTGTCAACAGGTAGCATGCTACCTGTACCATCATTCTACAGAGTGTACTTGCAGATGGCGAAATGTAGATTATTTATTAAAGAAAGTAATAAAATGTATTTTGTTGCGTACAAAATATATTAATTAATATTATTTTCAGGCCGTGATCCCCCTCCCCTATTGCTGCAATTAAACCTTCTTGCAATAAAAAAGTATTTTCCTTTTAATGTGTTTTCACTCTTCTGCTGACATAATTGTATCTGTCGGTGTGACCCCCCCCCCCCCCCAGATCATGGAATCTAAGATCACCCAGCAGGCCCTGAATGAAATCCAGGCCCGTCACAAAGACATCATGAGGCTGGAGAGCAGCATCAAGGAGCTCCATGACATGTTTGTGGATATTGCCATGCTGGTGGAGAATCAGGTATAAACGCACACACGCAGCAATCACTTATGTGTTGCCTTTCACCAAACAACTTAATATATATTCTTCATTGATCATATGATTGCTTGATTCACAATAATAAACCAATGTGATGGAAGACTGGACTGTAGGCTACCAGTGTAACTAACCAGAGGGTGTCCAGTGAGACATGTGTTTTGGATGTGAACAAATGGTAATAAGGTAGAAACAGATCACTTCTGACCCCCCTTTTATGTTATGAACAAAATGATAGATCTACTTGTTCATATACTGTACAAGCAACATTGCTACCAAAAGCAGTTTTGCTTACTAACTGTTGCCACTTCTGATTGGAGAAATGTGTTTAAGAGTATGAGGAAAATGTAATATGGAGACAGGTTTTGTTTCATATTGGTGTATCTGAGTAGAAAGAGTGTTTTTAAAGTAAAGAGTTAAAGTAAAGATGTCACATATTGTTTGTCACTGTTGTACATTAAAGTCTCTCATGTTCTTCCAGCTATCAGTCGCTGTGTTAGATTATATAACTGATCAGATATTTGAAGGAACGCTGGAAAAGCTGAAGATGTCCACCTTCACAGCACCACACATGCTCACTTAAAGTGGACCTATCATGCTATATTTGAATAATATAGTATAGGACCATACCTATATAAGGCATATTTATACTTTTTTTTTTTCAAAATATCAAACAGATCATGCATTTTAGCCATGCCTCATTTTGCTCAATTTGACATTTTTTAGCTCTGTTTTTGCAAGGGCAGATTCTTTGAGAACAGCACCATCTACAGGCCTGGCATATGTACTACAGCGTCTCCAGCGCTTTCGAACGGCAATGGCCGTGGCTGTCACCTCCTGATTGGTGGAGTTGGCCCAATAGCCGTAGCACCACTGTCCTGACGTCAGGACAGTGTTCAAATCTGGATCAGTTTTGATCAGATCCGTTGCAGCCCCTTTTTTAGAGATTTGGGTATGGAGGAAAATAGAGAGGGTTGTGTTTTCTGACACTTGGTGAGTTCCCTGGAACACCGGGGACACATATTCATGTATAAAAGACGTACAAAAGTGCATTTTGCATGATAGGTCCCCTTTAAGTTACCATCTCACTTCTGAAAAAAAGAAAAATTGACAAAGAATTCTCTCTCATTATCCTGCCCTTCTCTAGGGGGGTATGATTGACAGAATTGAGAGCAACATGGACCAGTCGGTGGGCTTTGTAGAGAGGGCAGTGGCCGATACCAAAAAGGCAGCCAAATTCCAGCAGGAGGCCCGAAGGGTAAGTTGAGACTGATGGAGCAGTCACATGGCTTTACTGGCCTGATGAAACATTGTCTGTTTACTTTACTGTTGACTTTTCATTTCTTTGAATTTGTTTTCCTTCATGACATAAATGCATTTACTGAGCAATGCACAACATCTTCTTTTCCTTCTCTGTTTACTTTTCTCCAGAAACAAATGATGATCTTCTGCTGCTGTGTGATTCTGGCCTTGATACTCGGTTCATTTGTCTACAGCTTCTTCAAATAGTAATGCTGAATGAGCCCCCCAGCGGGGTCCCACAGTGCGGGACCAGGCAGAGCAAAGTAGAGCCCGGGCTCAGTTTCGTCATTTCACTCCTTCAAATTAGAAATAGAGTTTGAAAATCTTTGCATTCCTTCTCCGTTATTTCTGGTGTGTTATTACAACTTTTTCAACATTCTTAGGGAGTTCCACATTTAAATTCAGTTTTAATGTCAGATCTTGTTAAACAAAATATTAGAGACACCTTTCAATGCCTGCAATGCACTGCATCTAATACAGCACCAAGACTAAATGACCTTTAGTTCCAACAAAAAGCTTTAAAGGCTTAATGAAAGGGAAATGTGTTGTATAACTCTAACCAATGCAGTATAAATCCCTGTTGTAAGAACTACAGGTTCAATCCACGAGCAGAAAATATGTTTTTCATCTTTGGCCCTGCCGACAGTATCTCTATAAATATGTATGGTATTAGGTACAGGATTTGTCAGTCAATGCTAGTGTATCTGTAGGACTTTTCAGGAGTGATGAGTAAGATCAGCTTTTATTTATATATTTATCCACTCTTAACATAGTAAAAGTATTGTTTTTTTCTGTATGGTGATCCTAAATATGTCTTCCTTCCGAAGATTATTTAAAAGCTGTCAAACCCGGATTCCTTTTTAAGTGGGCTTTAAGAGCCCCATTAACTACTATCTCGGTTAATTTAAATACTTCAAGTAACAGACAATGGACAGTGTCAGGATCTGCTTTCATAAATACATTGAAACAGTGACTAACTAATGAGAAGTAATGTTATCATATACAAAAAAAAAAACTGAAAAGGATTTATTGGTGAGAAAGGACTGCAGTGGCTGTTAACAGGGGATGAAGTGAAAGTGAACCGATCACACAGATGTCCCTGTAGCACTACCCGTATTTGAGTTTGAAACTGATTAAAACTAGATGCGATGGTAGGAATAGGACTAAATTCTGAAGGTGTTAGTGAAGAAATGGAATAAACCCAGCCCTGCTCTATTACACTGCCTGTAATGTACTGTGTTACCTCTTCATGTCTTTGTTGTAGGTGTATATATTACACAAATTGCTTTTATTTCTATGTGTTTGCGTTACCCCCCTTCTTATTTTTTAAAAGAATATGCTTGTATTTCCAATCTTGTTTCATGACATGGTTTGACTCTAGTTTGACTTTTGCGTCCTCCCTCTTTGCTCTACATCCACATATGCAGGTACACTTAGCCTACTCTTAATCCATATTTTATTTGTAAAATTTGAAACTAGGTTCAAACATTCAACCATTTGGATGTTCGGAAATGGAAAATTCTTCTTAAGAAACAGACTGGTGTTTTCTTGTGTCAAGTTAGAACAGAGGCCTGTACTACGAATCCAGTTCAACAGACCCTGGATATGTTTGAGTTACCCGGCTTACCTAACCCTAACAAACGCGCTCTCGCTAAGCGGTCCTACGACGCTGGTTATCAACTCGGTAACTCAAGCCAGGGTTTCTCTGTCCGGCTGAGTGCACGTTCACATGAAAGGGGCGGGGTTAGCAACATTTGACCAATCACAAACATGGAGAAGCGTACTGACAGCGCAGCGTCATACTTCCTGAATGAAAAGTGAACTATAATATTAAACAAATATGAAGAAGTTAAACTTTAAACATCCATGACTTAAACACTTTATCCAGGATAAAAGCAACATAGTGTTGTGTTATTCAATAATACACGTGAGTTCAACTGTCACAATTAAGGGTGTTTTTATTGGTAGCCCACATGCTAGAACACTCCTAGCTCACATGCCCGTATCGATCGGCGACCGATCGATATCGGCCGATACTCACTCTCTGCCGATCGATCGGTGCTCTCTAAAAATGCCGATCGCGAGAGCCGATCGCATGACGTAAAATTATGACGCAAAATACATGACACTTTTCTCTGTGCGCGGCAAAACAAGCTCGCAAAAATGGCTTCACCAGTCTGGCAGTATTTTAAGGTGTCCGAAAATGACAATAAAATAGTGGTGCAACGTGTGTGAAGCAGAAATCCTGCAGCTCCACCCGCTGTGACGGACCGGTGAGCGGAGCGAAACACACAAGAGTTAGACCTAATACACTTAGCTATTTTATCTACCTCTGGAACAAGCTAAACTAGTTATAAATATGTTTATTCTTCACTGTCGGGTCACTCATTACTGGATCAGTGAGCTGCATGAGACGATACTGACAGGCTGTCAGGAGAGAGAGAGAGGGGGAGAGAGGGGGAGAGAGGAAAAGAGAGCGCTTCCGCTAATTTCTCCCTAGTTATTATCCCAAGTTAATGTAAACTTGAATAATGTACTTCATTTGAATGTAATAATTATGTTGGTTGTTGTTTGTGGAAACGCCAGTGAATGAGCCCCATTAACTGAGTTTTAAACATCACTTTAAATGAAAGATCCCCATAGGCCCCGCCTACTCGATCGGATCGGCGATCGGTATCAGCCGATACTGATTCCGGCGATCGGCCCCAAAATGGGCGATCGGAGCATCCCTACTCGTTACCATAATCGTCTGCCTAAGACGTTATAGCCCCGTGCCCGTAGGGCTTCACTACTATTGGCTAACACACAAACAGCACAATAATACCACATCTCCCTTTTTAGGAATCAATGGGTAGACTGCCTAATAGGCGCGTTCACACCAAGTACTTTTCCCACAATAGTTCATGAGAACTTTAGTTCATGAGAGCTCTTTTAGTTCTGATGAACTAAAGCAGATCGCGTTCACACCAAAATGAGTTCCTGGGGGTGGATTAGGCAAATTAACCGCTGACGTCACTTCTTCTTCTTCTGCTTTGGGTTTACTGGCAGGCCGCAAACAACTTCACGGCGAGTACAGTAGGTGGCGGTATGCACCTTAAAGTTGCAATCCGCCAAAAAACCGAGAGAAAAAGAAGAAGAAAAACCTCCCGCGCCCACTTGCTGTAAATGAGGCGTCTGTTTACCTTCCGACCTCAGACATGAGCTTCGTCTGAGTTATTTAAGCAAACACAAATACAGATCGTCGACCAGTCAAATGCAATGGCAATGCTGATTCGGAAGCGAAGGCGGTTAAGAAGGATTGACAAAAGGATTGGACGGCGACATGCACGCGCTACGCTACGTGTGAAATTAATAAACTGTGCCAGGTGTGTCGTATGCACACTAAATAGGCTCAGCAGCTAACACACCTTTATTATATATCCTCCTGAGAACAACTGCATCCGTCTGCCATGAACCCTACAGAAACCTACGTGTTAGTTGTGGCCCATAGTGGCCTCCATTTGTGTCGTGTAAAATGGGGGAAATCAAAAGTTAGCAAATCCCCATGTCATGTTCATAAAAACATTTAGTTTTAGGTCAAATAATTATTACACTGCTCTGAAACTCACTACACTAACTCCTAAGATGTTCCCTTACTATAATTAATTAAAAATATTGAACTCACAACACTGGTAATAACTTAACCATTTCTCTTTCTATAAATAAATAGTGCTTGTGTTGGACGCCATTTTGAAATACAATGAAATTATCTTTTTGAAAGCCACAATAAATAAAGCTTCGCCAGTTTATAACCGATGAAACATGATGGTATCAGAATAATCACTTACATGTGATGTATCATGCTACACAGGTCACTGTAAAGATAAAGTGTCAGAGGAGAAATAAGCAAGCTTAGTTACATGAAATGTAATGAAAAATGTAAGATACAGGCTCTGTTTAATCGCCATGTAGGTTCTCTTTTATTGCACACTCAAGACAATATCAATAACAGCATCACGCTGTCCCAGGTGTGTCGTATGCATGTAAATAGAAGTTAACATTTTCAATATCAAATAAAGTGTCAGTAGTATCAAAACATATATATATATATATAATAACAATAGATAGGCTCAGCAGCAGACACACCTTAGTGCAAAGTGAAGTGTCAGTATTAATAACAGTGGCATATATATATAATCACAATAATACAAAATGAACTGTCCCAGGTGTAGGCAATTTGGGGTGAAGTGTCTTGCCCAGGGACACAACGACATGCTGACTGCAGTGGGTTTTGAACCTGTGCTCCCCTGATCCGAACACCAACGCACCAGACCACTGCACCACACGCCTCCCAACAAGTCATTGTACAGTTTATCAACGACGACAAGTTTTTCTTTATTTTTTTATTGAAGGCCTGTTGGATTTAATCAGCTCGCTTAGCACTGCCAGAAGCCCAGCCTGAAAGGTATTTTGTTGCTCCACCTGGCGCGCCGACACCTCCACCTGGCACGCTGCCGAGTCAGCATGGCGCGGCATCACCATGAGCAGCTGGTCGTCCGATTCCTGGGCCTTGTGTGAATGCAGCAGCCGTTCGTCGTGCATCTCCTTGGCACGCAGGTCCTCATTCTCCTTGCTGACCATGGCACGACGGTCCATCGCCATGATGGTGTCAAGGAAGCTGTCATCCCGTGCCCGCTTTCCTAAGGTGAAATAAGCAAGATACAAGATCAGTTTAATCGCCAAGACAACATTGGACATGGTGCAGGCAGGGACAGTGTACAAAATGCAGGTGTAAAGTAGAAGATAAGATAGGATCAAATAATATCAAATAAAAAATAAATATCAAAGTGCCCTTATTTATTGTTTTGTGCTTAATGTATGCTTGAACTTTATTTTATAGGGATTAGTGGACATCAGTTAGATGTGTAACCTTCTTTCAAGGCCAGAGTAGTTACAGTGTAAGTGGATTGACATCTAACATAACATGGCTGAGTACAATTATAACAATCAATAAAAAAAAGGAAAAATAAATAGAATTTCAATTACATTTCTACTTAAATGTGCAAAAATATTAGAACATCAGTCTTTGTGGCATGCAGGTAATCAACTGTTTTAAGCTTTTACCATTAACATGTAGAATGAATGTTGCAAATGACTTGAAATTATAGCAACTACAATGTATTGTTAGAGGTAGCATTATGTCCAGCTAGCATGCTAATTGCTAACGT